TACTAAAATCATTAAGTGAGGAACTATATTTTGTGGCAGAAGAAGAAAATGATAATTTTTTTCTCTTTTGTAGTATTTACAGTACTGTTAAGTTTGGATTCCTATTTTTCCATGCAGGCTGCACACAGAGTTATTTTGTGCAATGACGTGTTTTATGCTGTTCCTGAAATATTTATTAAATCAACATTTATGAATTCTATCATCATATTGTGACAAATATAGCAAATATATTTTGAAAGTCCAGGAAAAAATAGAGCCAATTTTAATTTAAAATTTATACTTTTAAGCGCTAAGTGCATGCGCAAGCGCTAATTAGGGAGTCTTCACATCCAATCAACGACGCCTATCAGCATGATGTTCTTCTAAACATAGCATCTTAAATATTCCGATAGGTGAATTTTCTAAAAATAGCACTGCTGAAGTGATCTAGTGCAGTGCTATTATCCGATTAATTATATGAAGGATCTAGTAGTGAAGACCAGTAAAGTTGCTCACACTTTTTTTTTCAACAATGTTAATATTATCACCTTGTGGGGTATGCTATTTCCAGAATTTGACTTGACAAAAACTCAAATTCCTAAAGACCAGTGACCCAAGGCTAAGATTTATTTATAACAGAATTAAGACAGCATAAAACTGAGATTTACTGACCTATAGATTTGTGTAATAGGGTATGGCCGAAAATTTGGAACAAATAACTAGAGGTTAATTTGTGCATTATTATTCATTCAATAAACATTTGAATATTTCAGAGAAGAGGAGGATAGGTTGAGTTTGATTAAATTCCAGTACTGTAGATTTCGCAAATACTTATTATCGCGAAATGGCTCTTTAATATCAAATCGCGAGAACAATAATTCGCCAGTGGACGGTTAATCAAGAGATTTTACATGGATTTTGGCACAATAAAAATAAAAGCAAGTAATTTTATTTTGCGAGTGTTGTTTCTCGGGAAATAACGCGATAATTAATTCCTCGCGTATATTTAGGAATCTACAGTATTTTATTTACTAGTATTTTATGTACAACTATGTCCTAAAAACCATATGGCTTTGACATTTATTTTTCTGGCTGCCTATTTGCTTTGAAAAGCGATTGAAGCGACTTTCAAGAATACACAGGAAAAGAAAAAGTTAATTTTCGGGAACAATATTCAGTATTTATTTGGGTGGTTGTTCATGTGACAAAAGGTCACATTTTATGACATAAAGAACTTAACCCTAGTAGCGCTATATAAAATACACAATGTTAGTGCTCTGAGCTGAATATTTTTGCCTGCGTTGGGGTGCATTTGTTTAAGCAATTTAATTAAGATTTTATTGAAAAAACATAGACATATTTTACATCAAAATGTTCAGCAGAGATAGGACTTCAATATTTTGATAGCCAGTTTTCATTCTTTGTGTAAACAAATAAGTAATTTATAGGTAAAGCGAATATATTATTAACAAGAGGCCCAGGGGCCACATCGCTCACCTGAGCACTCTGGCTAGGAAAAAGCAGAAATCAGTTCAGTCTTGAAAAGGGGGGGGGGGGGGTATTTGAACTAACTTGAATCTAAACTTCATAGGGATGCTTTTGAATTAATATGACAAATAATGGCTTTGCTGTTCTTAAGAAGAAAATTTTGATTGATATATCCTTTGTATGATCCCCTGTTATGGCCCCTCTATTCTCCAGGGGATCATGATTTGTACAAATTTGAATCTACATTACCTGATGATGCTTCCATTTAAATATGACTAATCATAGCTTTGCTGTTCTTGAGAAGAAGATTTTTAAAGATGTTCCCTACATATTCCTATGTAAAACTTTGATCACCCATTGAGGCCCCACCCTACCCCTGGGGGTCATGATTTGAACAAACTTGAATGTACACTACCTGAGGATGCTTCCATATAAATATGACCAATCATGGCTTTGCTGTTCTTGATAAGAAGATTTTTAGAGATTTTTCCTATGTTTTCTTATGTAAAACTTTGATCGCCCATCGTGGCCTCACCCTACCCCCGGGGGTCATGACTGGAACAAACTTGAATCTACACTACCTGAGGATGCTTCGATATAAATATGACCCATCATGGCTTTGCTGTTCTTAAGAAGAAGATTTTTCCTATGTTTTCTTATGTAAAACTTTGATCGCCCATTGTGGCCCCACCCTACCTCCGGGGGTCATGACTGGAACAAACTTGAATCTACACTACCTGAGGATGCTTCCATATAAATATGACCCTTCATGGGTTTGCTGTTCTTCAGAAGAAGATTTTTAAAGATTTTTCCTATATATTCCTATGTAAAACTTTGATCGCCCATTGTGGCCCCACCCTACCCTCGGGGGTCATGACTGGAACAAACTTGAATCTACACTACCTGAGGATGCTTCCATATAAATATGACCCATCATGCCTTTGCTGTTCTTGAAAAGAAGATTTTTAAAGATTTTTACTATGTATTCCTATGTAAAACTTTGATCCCCCATTGTGGCCCCACCCTACCCCTGGGGGTCATGATTTGAACAAACTTGAATCTACACTACCTGAGGATGCTTCCATATAAGTTTCATATTTTCAAGCACAGTGGTTTTTGAGAAGAAGATTTTTTTAATGATGCCATTAATTTTTCATGAATTCATAATTATCTCCCCTTGGAAGAAGGTGTGGCCCTTCATTTGAACAAACTTGATTCTTCTTCACCCAAGAATACTTTGTGGCAAGTTTGGTTGAAATTGGCCCAGTGGTTCTTGAGAAGAAGATGAAAATGTGAAAAGTTTACGACAACGACGACTACGACAACGACGACAGACAACGGACAAATTTCAACACAAGTTTTACTTCATGGGACTTAACTGCTTACTGAAGGTAATACAGATAATTTTTAATACAGGGACATAGTTTTGGTTCAACTTTTCAACGTTTGTGTAGTCACATAGTAAGAAATACCTTCGTCAAAAGTTGGTGTCCGCCATTGTTGATTTTACCTTGATGTGGAATCTCAACATTTGCCGTACTTCTCTCTTAATCTGGCTTCTTTAAACTATTATTTTCATTAGTCATGATATGATTGCCTTTATTTCTGTTGAGTTGAGTTTATATGAAATAAAATACTTAAGATCGTTTTTAACTCAGACATATCGAAGTCTAGACCCCTAAATCTAACCTTGGCCTGGGCCGATCGCTGTCTAGCATATTTCACATTTGAAACATGTTTAGCATGATCTTCTTAGAAAATGTCGAAAACATCTTGTAGTTAATATCTATCAAGTTTTTTTACCGCAATTTTAGTCTCTAAACAAGTTTACTAGCACATTGAAAAAATGGTTTCTTGAATATGCCAACAGTTTGAATCACGCGGAATAAACATGACCTTTTCACCTGTCTAAATTTACAAAACCAATCACATTTCATCTCAGTAATGGATTTTTTATTCATTCAAACCTAATACCAAATAAGGAAAGTGCTTTTATTAGACAAAATTTCCACTGGTCGCTTAAAATAGTAGTTTAAAAATATCGTTGCTGTCACCCAGAATATTCTGGGGTCAGTTCACAGCACATGGCTTTGTTTACCGGAATATTCCGGGTTCAGCACTACTAGGGTTAAAGAAGTATACGTATTACCTTGTTCATCACTGTACATGGATGACATCAAGAAAAGAGTGGGTATACATACGCCGGTCTGAATGTACTAATATTTACTTTGTCATCATTTCTACGTATCGTATTCGATGATGGGCCACATCGATAGAAATGTGATTTAACGCAAAAGAAACAAATTACTTGAGTTGTTTGCATATTCATGCTCCAAGGATCGTAATCAATCTGATCAAAGTCTGAGGATGAAAATATTTACTCAGCAGTCGAACATGTTCCTTAAGTAATTAAATTGCGCTCATATCAAATGTTAACAAAATAAATTAACATTTTGAGACAACTTAGATCCTCATTAGATTCCCAGAAAGTTTATTTAAGTAGAATTGTGACAATTTCTGAAAAAGGGCAAATTTATCAAGATTGTATTAATCTGAATTCTGTTAACTAACTTAGCTTAGCACTTTTCAGTACTGTCAGTACTTTGATTTAGTAATATTTAAAAAATTAAATCATAGACCCCCACTTTTGATTTTCTTTTCTGAATATATGATACATTTGATCACACTGCTTAAATTCAGCTGAAGTTTAGGACTTTACAATAATTTTCTTGATTGTTGAATTTTTAATGCAAGAAAAATGACTTTTTGAGTGCAGAAAGGTCAAATAATCGATTATGCAAAGTAATTTGAATTTTTTTCTTTCTCACAAATTTAAAGTGTCTTTTTAAGATAGAACAAGAGTACATTTGATCCCATGATTTATTTGGATATAAAAATATTGTAGGAAAAACTTTGAAGAAATGATTTTTGTTTAAGACATAACTTCAGTGCAAATGGTCATTAAATGTACCATAGTGTCAAAAGAAGCATACTAACCACAACTTTTTTTGTTTTGATTTTTAATTAAGCTATGTGTGTAGATACTAAAAATATACTTGACAAAAAATTCTTCAGACTTTTGATATCACTTTTATCAGGATCCAACCTCCTTAAAATTTTTTTTAAAAATATTGTCAAAGTCAAATGAAAGGTCAAGATAAAAAAAATTTGATGCAGTTTAATAGCTCTTTTCAAAACGTATCAGCATATAAAGTTTTATAAATATATTTTGAACAGTTTCTTTGGAACTGAGCTAAAACAAATTTTTGAAAAGTGAGGTCATGGTCAAAGGAAAGGTCAAGGACAAATAATGTTGATGCAGTTGTAAAGCTCTAATCAATATGTATCAGCATATAAGGTTTAATAAAACATCTTGAATAGCTTCTTAAAAACTGAGCTAAATGCAAAGTGTGACAGAAGATGTACATGACAAACACTATATGCCCCAGCCATATTCATGGCGGGGCATAAAAATCAACATTCCTTGAGAATATGATTGTCAAGTATTACAGACTGTAAAAGAGTCTACATACGCCGTATCTTTATCTCCCAAGAAAAAGGTATAAAATGAGATGAGGATTTGCTGGCCAGCCTCTGGACGGAATATATATCTACAGTGTGTATTGTCAGGGTAACGGAGAGGGTGGTGTGGTGAGTTAAATGTCCCAGATTTGGTGTCTTTGCTGTCATACAGGTATGTACACTTCCCCTCCTCAACATTCTCTCCTGGGATACCATAATCTGAATCAAACAAAAATCACCAGAATTCATCAAATACTAGACATAAACAGTCGGTCTGCAGTTAATACATGCACTTGTGCTTATCAGACTTAGTTTTAATTTTTTACTTAGGAACACTTTTACACAAAACATTATGACACTTACATGTAACATTAAATTAGACAGAAGGTACCACATTGAGACTTTTAAAAAATGATAAGTACAAGATTGATAAATTTTGTAAAATAAATACAAACAAAAGACCCATGGTCCACAATGCTCACCTGAGTCTAAAATTTTTAAAGAAGTGACCCCACCCTTCCCCTGGGGTCATGATTTGAACAAATTTGAATCTACACTACCTGAGGATACTTCCACATCAATATGACTAATCATGGCTTTGTTGTTCTTGAGAAGATTTTGAAAATGTTTTGCTTTATATTCCTATGTAAAAATTTGATCCCCCATTTTGACCCCACCTTACCCCTGGGGGTCATGATTTGAACAAATTTTCTTTATTACTTGAGGATGCTTCCATATCAATATGACAAATATTGATCAATATGACTAATTATGGCTTTCTTGTTCTTGAGAAGAAAATTTTTAAAGATTTTTTCCTATGTATTCCCAAGTATAACTTTACTCCCCCATTGTGGCCCCACCTTACCCCCAGGGTCATGATTTCAACAAACTTGAATCTACATTGCATGATAATGCTTCCACATCAATATTACTAATCATGGATTTGTTGTTCTTGAGAAGAAGATTTTTATGCCCCTGGATTGAAAGATCCCGGGGGTATATTGTTTTTCTCCTGTCTGTCTGTTTGTCTGTCTGTCTGTTGTCAACTTTTACCTAGCCCATATCTATTGCACTGTCAAGGGTAAGGCTTTAATATTTGACATGAGTGTTCATTATAACAATACCTTTCCATTGGTACAGAAATTTTTGATCATGTGACCTCAACTGTGACCTTTGACCTACATTTGAAAAACTTTAACATTGGCCATAACTATTGCACTGTAGTCTACGTCCCACTCCAGAACTGTGTTACCATCGGGGGCATAGTGTTTCACAAAGACATCTTATTTTCTATAGATATACAGTATTCCTATGTAAAACCTTTATCCCCCATTGTGACCCCATCCTACCCCTGGGGGTCATGATTTGAACAAACTTGAATCCAGACTACCTTAGGATGCTTCCACATCAATGATTAATCATGGCTTTATTGTTCTTGAAAAGAAGATTTAATTATTACTATATATTCCTCAGGATCATGATTTGAACAAACTCTGCATGAAGATGCTTCCATATAAATATGATCTGTCATGGCTTTGCTGTTCTAGAGAAATTTTGAAAAGATTTTCTCTATGTATAGCTTTGTAAAATTTCAATCCCCCTTTGCGGTCCCAATCCTACCCCCAGAGATCATGTTTTGAACAAATTTAAATCTACACTACCTGAGGATGCTTCCATATCAATATGACTAATCATGGCTTTGTTCTTGAGAAGAAGATTTTAAAACATTTTTCCCTATATATTCCTATGTAAAACTTTGATCCCCGGTTGTGGCCCCAACCTAGCTACTGCCTGGGGTCATATGATTTGAAGAAATCAGAATTTACAAAATGTAATGAAGGTTTCACATAAGTTTCAACTTTTATGGCCCACTGGTTTTTAAGAAGAAGATGCCATAAAAATTTCACTAAATCTTAGGGATGGCAACGAATATTCGAACATTCAAATATTCATTCGATGAGTTGATATTCGAATATGAGTTTAAGATTCGAATATTCGGTGTTTTTCAGATTTCATAAAAAGAAGTACTGTGGTTAATAAATTTTGATTAGAACAGTGCTAGGATTATCCCTGTTTAATTTAGCGATCAATTTCGATCGCCTTATTTCTTTCACTACTTTCTTATCTTTTAGATATACTTAATAACATTTATTTTGTTTTGAATAAGGTGTTAAAGAATTGTACAATAATGCATTATGTATAATACAAAACATACTTTCATAGTTTTTATTAGTTAGATACGATCTTATCTAGAATCGAGGACAACAAAATGAAAACCTGATGAAAATGTCTAAAAGACGTGAAGAGTATATTTATTAAAATAAATTTAATTGATCATTGAATGAATGTCTGATAGAATTAGTCTGTAATAAATATTGTAAAGGGCTCAATTTCAGAATAAATGTGTAAATTACTTTTTTTTTTTTTTTTTTTTTTTTAATTAATACCAATTGTCACATACATGTTTATAACATGGATTACAACATTATATCATTAATGAATATAATAAACAAATACAAACAAAATTATAATTGTGACAACTGAGAGAGAGAGAGAGAGAGAGAGAGAAAGAAGGAGATAGAGGGGAGGGGGTTGAGAAAGGTAAAGAAAAGAGCATGATCAAAGATAAATGTCTGCTCATTAAAGTACTGGTAATCTCAAAACCTCATTACGACATTTAGTTCTGTATATAAATGATTTAATACATAACAGTATTGTATTTAATTCCTTACTATTGGGTATTGGGTTTCCAAGTATGAATGTACAACTATCTATTGGAAATTCTATATTATGAGCTTCACAAAGAATGGTAAAACTATTTATAAGTTCTTGAACCTTCTGGCATTCCAACATAATATGAAAAATTGTTTCCTCACATGTCTGACAGAAGCTACACAATTTAGTATCTTTCAAACCTATTTTATATAAAATCTTATTTGTAACTAAGATATGTTGATTTATTCTGAATTGTAGCCATTGTAATTTAGAACTTTTTGTACACTGAAAAGGAATTTTGTATAACATTTCCCATAGGGAATCTTGAATTTCAAAATGTTTACTCCATTTCACTTTTGAGAAAGGTACTACATGTTCTGTATTCAAAATATTATACATAGGTTTTGTTCCTTTTTTAGATAAACAGAATAATTTTAAATAAAAAGGTAGAATGGGTTTTGGGTTTGATCTTTCTTTGTTTACTTTTTCTACAGCCATAGCTACTTTTATAACTTTCTGTAGACTCGCATAGGTTAAAAAATTGGTTTCTATATTAATTTTTGCTTGAAGTTCTTTAAATTTTAGAAAAGTTCCCTGTTCATCTAACAAATCTTAAATAAATATTACACCATTGATAAACCATTTAGAGTAAAAAATGGGCTTATTGTCAATTTTGATGTGTAAATTACTTGATTAACTCGGGTTGCACATAATCCTGAATTTTATATTCATTATCGGGAAATTAGTTAATTACCTAAGAAAATTGTCTATGGAAATATTTGTTTATATTTTAAAAACATTGTATCAAAGATTATAATCATATCTCTTATTAGGCAGATAATTGTAATTTATTACACGTATTGAAATCTGAACAGTATACCGTTACAACTATATCTTGCATTTGGTAAGACGACTGGTTCCTCAGTTGGAGCTACTATAAATACACATGTTTCATTTGTTAAAATTATACTTTTCTACTTTTCTACATTTAAATCAATTATATATTTCAAACATTGACAAATATCAAATAGAATTCTTGTTATACACCTACAAAAGTCTTCATACAATTTTACTTTCAATATAAGTAGGGTATACCTACGCTAAACCTTTCATGAGAGTAAGATAAAACAGATTTTATCGAATATTCGAATATATTCGAATACTTTCATTGAATATTCGAATATGCATTATTGAGAAAATTGACATCCCTACTAAATCTTGATTATCTTCCCTTTAAAGAGGCTGTGGCCTTTCCAGTTGAACAAATTTGAATCACCTGCACCCAAGTTTGAGGCAAGTTTGGTTGAAATTGGTTCATTGGTTCTTTGGAAGAAGATGAAAATGTGAAAAGTTTACAGACGGATGGACAGATGTAATCTAGTTGTGTGCCAAGTTATATTGAAATCAGACTGTAACTGTAGGAGGAGAAGCATTTTTAAAGTATTTCACAGAAATTTCTTTTTTTAAAAACAATGGGAACACTGTTCATCAAAATCCAACATAAAAAATTATTTATCTTAGTGTTTTCTGCCTGTGGGCCAAATTATACTGAAATATCAGACCAAAACTGTTGGAGAAGTAGTGTTTTCAAATAATTCACAGAAAATTCTATTTTTAGTACATTTTAGTACATTTGTAATCATGGCAACATCACTCATTGAAACCAATATACAGAATTATGTATTGTAGTGTAGTCTGCTTGTGTGCCAAGATATATTGAAATCACACCAAAAAAACTGTAGGAGGAGTAGCATTTTTAAAGTATTTCACAGAAAATTCTATTTTTAGTAACCAAGGCAACACTGTTCATCAAAATTAAAAACTTATATATAGAATTATGTATTTAGTGTAGTCTACTTGTTGGCCAAGTAACATTGCATTCAGACCAAAACTGTAGGAGGGAGAAGCATTTTGAAAAAATTGTTTACAGACAGACAGCAAGATGGACGGACACCTATCACATAAGCTCTTCTGGTCTCTGACCAGTCAAGTTAAAAATTTGCATCATAGTAAAGAAATAATTTATTTTTCTAAATGTTTATATATATATATATATATATATATATATATATATATATATATATATATATATAAATAGATAGATAGATAGATAGATAGTGATTTTTAATCCCCTACACCTCAAAATCTGCATTAAAGTAATTAATTTTGTCTCTCTAAAATCTGTAGAAACAGACAGATGAAGTCGGAGCATTGATTTTCTTACCCTAAGGACATGAGTCTCTAATTTACAGTACAGCAGTAATTTTCACAGAGATTTCTCTAGTCAGTAATAACCAACCTTAAGACAGCAGTGCTGAGTAGTAAACAATAGCTATCATATCTTACAAATGGAGCACTGACCTTGCTGGACTTGAGTGAAATTTTTTAAATTTCAAATTTCAATGAGATATTGCACGAGTGTTCTGGGCATCATAACAAGTCTAATTTGGAATAATTTAAGTAAAATTAGCAGAATTTTACAAGACATGAAACACATTTTGATAGAACTTAATTTACTTGAATAATTTATACACTTATATCAAGCATATTTTAATAAGCAATTACTAATAAGCTAACAGTAATAATATGTTGCCTGTAATCATAAACACCATATTACCTGGTATGAACTCATAGTAGGCACTGAATCCTCTGCCTTCGCGGGCATTGTCAGTGTTGAATATGAGGACTAATCGTGACCTTTTACTGCTGGTGTCAGGGGGTAAATATGGTCCACAATAACGTTCCTTAAACACCCTGGAGTCTTCTCTTCCCTCCTCATCAACAGCTACATATCCCAAATTACAGCTACAAATTAACGAAGAATATCACAAATTTTCTTTAATGGAAACATCAATTAAGGATTAATTTTACTTCACCTGAATAGGGTCATAGAGTTCTACATGTTATCAAGAACATGTCTGCCCATTAAAAATCTAAGCAGTTTTCTCAAGAGTTTGTCAAACTAATGGGTATGCTTTTTCAAGTGTAAAAATATTTTAAGCAGCTGCCAAGTATGCATCATCAGTTGAATCAAGTATATCTGTATAGATGGTCATTTTCTGAGACTGAATTCAATGACAGGCTTTTTTATTTATTAATAAGCATTGAATTCTTATATTTGGATGTCATCTGTCCTATAACAGCACCTGACTGTGCCAATTCACAAATTGAATACCGAGCATTAGTGTGTATGATAAGGACTACGCATGCCAATTCTTGATTACTGCCTACATTTTACACCCATTTAATTTAATGTAAATGGCAGTCTGGCCAATAAAACTTGATTGAATGCAAAGAAGAGTTCATTATTAATTAATAATTTTAAAATCAGTGTCAAAAACTTAATTGTTCTTATTTACAAGTCTTTCCAAAAGGGGGTTGAAATTTTTATCCATTGAAATCAGGCTTTAAAAAACCGTAAATTGCACTTTATTTACATTACGGGATCTGTAGTGTTATGGTCAGAGACTAAAATATAAAACAATAATGCTACAGTTCTGCAGCTAATAGAAACTACTGTAGAAGATTGGGGAAATTTTATTTACAGATAGACAAACAAGCAGACTGTGAATGAAAGATACTTTACCAATACATATTTGGTCTTTACAGTAGAACTAATAATACTTACTCTGGCATACTGCCAGGAATGGAGAAGTCGGTGAACTTGATCTTAACTTTTTCCAGTCTTTCCTGGTTGTATAGACCATCAATGTAATAAACACAGGTAATGTTGACAGGAAATTTTCGTGGGTAGCCAGGAGACTTTATGGTTCCGTTTCTGGAATTATTGCTGATTATCCGCATATCACAAGCTGTACAAAAAAGATCAGTAACAAAAAGTGCTTCCTCTGGTTATTTTTACAAAGTATTTTCTGTTGGGTGCATAACATTACCATGACCATTTTCAAAAAAGCCATTACCAAGACATTCTTGAGCCCATTACCACTACAAAATAGTACACATTACTGTGACAATTAATGTTTCTTCCATTAGCCAAAAAATGTTGATGGAAATGTAAATGTTGATGGAAAAGCCCTGTTTCCCTTGCTTATCATGTGGTGGAGGAAGTAAGACTTTGAGCTATAATTTCATTATGTGGTGGAGGAAGTAAGACTTTGAGCTATCATTTTATCATGTGAAGGAGGAAGTAAGACTTTGAGCTATCACTTTATCATGTGGAGGAGGAAGTAAGACTTTGAGCTATCACTTTATCATGTGAAGGGGGATGTAAGACTATGAGCTATTACTTTATCATGTGGAGGAGGAAGTAAGATTTTGAGCTATAATTTCATTATGTGGCGGAGGAAGCAAGACTTTGAGCTATCATTTTATCATGTGAAGGAGGAAGTAAGACTTTGAGCTATCACTTTATCATGTGGAGGAGGAAGTAAGACTTTGAGCATTCACTTTATCATGTGAAGGAGGAAGTAAGACTATGAGCTATCACTTTATCATGTGGACGAGGATGTAAGACGTTCAGCATTCACTTTATCATGTGGAGGAGGATGTAAGATGTTGAGCTATCACTTTATCATGTGGAGGAGGATGTAAGATGTTGAGCTATCACTTTATCATGTGGAGAAGGATGTAAGACTATGAGCTATCACTTTATCATGTGAAGGAGGAAGTAAGACTTTGAGCTATCACTATATTATGTGGAGGAGGATGTAAGACATTGAGCTATCACTTTATCATGTGGACAAGGATGTAAGACGTTCAGCATTCACTTTATCATGTTGAGGAGGATGTAAGATGTTGAGCTATCACTTTATCATGTAGAGGAGGATGTAAGACGTTGAGCATTCACTTAATTATCATGTGGAGGAGGATGTAAGACTATGAGCTATCACTTTATCATGTGGAGGAGGATGTAAGATGTTGAACATTCACTTTATCATGTGGAGAAGGAAGTAAGACTTTGAGCATTCACTTTATCATGTGGAGGAGGATGTAAGACTTTGAGCTATCACTTTATCATGTGGCAGAGGAAGTAAGACTTTGAGCATTCACTTTATCATGTGAAGGGGGATGTAAGACTATGAGCTATTACTTTATCATGTGGAGGAGGAAGTAAGACTTTGAGCTATAATTTCATTATGTGGCGGAGGAAGCAAGACTTTGAGCTATCATTTTATCATGTGAAGGAGGAAGTAAGACTTTGAGCTATCACTTTATCATGTGGAGGAGGAAGTAAGACTTTGAGCATTCACTTTATCATGTGAAGGAGGAAGTAAGACTTTGAGCTATCACTTTATCATGTGAAGGAGGAAGTAAGACTTTGAGCTATAATTTCATTATGTGGCGGAGGAAGCAAGACTTTGAGCTATCATTTTATCATGTGAAGGAGGAAGTAAGACTTTGAGCTATCACTTTATCATGTGGAGGAGGAAGTAAGACTTTGAGCATTCACTTTATCATGTGAAGGAGGAAGTAAGACTTTGAGCTATCACTTTATCATGTGAAGGAGGAAGCAAGACTTTGAGCATTCACTTTATCATGTGAAAGAGGAAGTAAGACTTTGAGCTATCAATTTATCATGTGGAGGAGTAAGTTAGACATTGAGCTATCACTATATCATGTGGAGGAGAAAGTAAGACTTTGAGCATTCACTTTATCATGTGGAGGAGGATGTAAGACTTTGAGCTATCACTTTATCATGTGGTGGAGGAAATTAGACATTGAGCATTCACTTTATCACGTGGAGGAGGATGTAAGACTATGAGCTATCACTTTATCATGCAAAAGTGTAAGACTATGAGCTATCACTTTATCATGTGAAGGAGGAAGTAAGACATTGAGCTATCACTTTATCATGTGGAGGAGGATGTAAGACTATGAGCTATCACTTTATCATGTGGAGAAGGATGTAAGACTTTGAGCTATCACGTATCATGTGGAGGAGGATGTAAGACTATGAGCTATCACTTTATCATGTGGAGAAGGATGTAAGACTATGAGCTATCACTTTATCATGTGGAGGAGGAAGTAAGATGTTGAGCTATCACTTTATCATGTGGAGGAGGATGTAAGACATTGAGCATTCACTTATCATGTGGAGGAGGATGTAAGACTATGAGCTATCACTTTATCATGTGGACGAGGATGTAAGACGTTCAGCATTCACTTTATCATGTGGAGGAGGATGTAAGATGTTGAGCTATCACTTTATCATGTGGAGGAGGATGTAAGATGTTGAGCTATCACTTTATCATGTGGAGAAGGATGTAAGACTATGAGCTATCACTTTATCATGTGAAGGAGGAAGTAAGACTTTGAGCTATCACTATATCATGTGGAGGAGGATGTAAGACATTGAGCTATCACTTTATCATGTGGACAAGGATGTAAGACGTTCAGCATTCACTTTATCATGTTGAGGAGGATGTAAGATGTTGAGCTATCACTTTATCATGTAGAGGAGGATGTAAGACATTGAGCATTCACTTAATTATCATGTGGAGGAGGATGTAAGACTATGAGCTATCACTTTATCATGTGGAGAAGGATGTAAGATGTTGAACATTCACTTTATCATGTGGAGAAGGAAGTAAGACTTTGAGCATTCACTTTATCATGTGGAGGAGGATGTAAGACTTTGAGCTATCACTTTATCATGTGGCGGAGGAAGTAAGACTTTGAGCTATCACTTTATCATGTGGAGGAGGATGTAAGACTTTGAGCTATCACTTTATCATGTGGAGGAGGATGTAAGACTTTGAGCATTCCCTCTTCCACTTAAATCTATTATTATTTTTTTTTAAACCCAGAACTTATTATACATAAAAAACACCGCATGTGAGTTAAGGCTAGGTATAGGCTTTTCTATGCAAATGAGCTAATAAAAACGCATAAGAGGTATATTTATTATTCAGAGAAAGTGTTGATTTATTTTCTTATGCATACTTAGTACCCATGATATGTTATAGCCAGTACACATTATGATGTCATATTATGACGTCACTGATCTTACCTACTGGAGGTAATAAACACATCAACAAAACAGCTTCGGCGCAAGGGATTACCCTATTTATTTTTACATAAAATTTGTATAATGCTAAGAAGAATATTCTATAGATTAATAAAACTGCTGCACAAATCCTAGGCATTTTCTCATTTGATCGGAATGTGAGGAAACTTATACCGGACTGTACATTTTTACCCTTATTCAACTTAAAACATTACAAATAGAAATTATACAACTGAGCTGCTGATATTTGTGCAGCAATACCAGCAAACTTTGGAATATTTTGCTTCTAAATATACCCTGTTTCAGTTAAATAAAATAGAGCATGCCCTTGCGCCGAAGCATTTTTGTTGATATACATTATAATCTTGTGTAGTATAGAACAATGACGTCATAATATGACGTCATAATGTGTACTTGCTATCTCATGTCATGGGTACTAAGTATGTATTAGACAATAAATTTTAACTTTGTCTGTATAATAGATATAGTCCTTTGGCATTTTAATTACATTATTTGCATAAAAATGCCTATATCTAGCCTTAACTCACCTGCGACATTTTTTTTTTTATAAAACTAGAGGTAGTGCTTTGAAGGTCTAATTCTATCTTCTCTTAATTTAAAGCCATCTACAATCAATCCAAGATTCCCTTCATTTGACGTCGTTAATTCTCTAAGCTAGCAGTTAAATTCAATAACCGAAAAATTGTACAGGGAATAAAGGGTAAGGAATATGTTTTGGGAATAGAATTTGAACAAACATACTTTATACATACTTTATATATATACCTTGAATGCAGTTTTTCAAATGTCCCGGTAATAATTGGTATATATCAATTTTCTAATAGTAGAAATGTGATGGTAAAGAACAACTTATTTCAAGAAGAAATGATGCCGTAATGAGTTGTAAATTCTTGCAATGTTGAGGTCATATGTTTCTCCCCTTCTTTGATATAGTGAGAATAAAATACAACCAATTAAAAGAATGCCAAGGAAAACCTCTTCACAGTAAACTGATTATTTGAAAAAGTAAATGATATACTGCTGACAAAGAGTACAAAGATCTCCTTAGTAACTCTTTTAATTCATTTGTCAAACATCTCATCAAACTGAAATGTAGTTTGCTACTGTAGTGCAAAATAGACTGAAGACAAGATAACATATATCAAACATAATTATTATAACAAAATTTCAAAGAACCAAATCTTTTATGTGAAGCTTTTAGTGGCAAATCATCATAAATCTCACTTGAAAGTGTACACTACGACCAAAATAGCAATGTGTTGAGTGAAAACACTATTAGATTTGACAAATGAACAATCTGAATCACTGATTACATTTTTTAAAATATACATTTTAATTGGTTGATTGGGGCCCGTCCATTCTCCTGTCCTTTGTTTATATATATATTGGAAAGCGTCTAACAGTCTAATGTTTGATGGTTGAAAACTGTGGTTGACTTTTGGAATTAAAAAAGAAACAAACCATAAAATCATATTTCAGCATGTGATATTCTTTTCATAGACAGAACATGCATATTTTTAACACACTATTCATCCAACTATACATGTATTTTTTGCCGATTTTCTCTGCAATAAACAGCTGATAAATTGTCAGGATTTTCCATTTTCTATATTTATCAAATTGAATACTCTGTGCGACTTTTCAGCTCACTAAAAATCTTTTCCTCTACGTTTTAGTCCCAAATGATTGTGAACAAGTGAATTTTTACACTGGGCAGGCAAACCCAAGCTAAATTTTAATTGAAAACTGAGTATTATTGTAAAGCATACCCAGTTGATACTCGTCAGGAGCATTTGTTATTGAAAAAAAAATATGCATAGCCGAAAAACAGAATGTGACACATCGGAATTACATGTATTAATTATACTGGGTTACTGCCACAAGTTTACTGGGTTATTGCCACAACTGTCAAAATAATACCAAAAAGTTTCCAATGTGTGTTTGTTGCTGCATACCATCTTACCGGCTGTCGTGGCAAAACAAGCACCCAGAAAATTGAAATCCTTGTGTTTTTCTGTGCAATTTTTACAGCAAATATTATCTATAGTCATAATAGATTAATAATTATTCATCCAATCTAAGTAGATTTACTTTAAATTTTTATTGACGTATTGAAGAAGAACAAGAGGCCCAAGGGTCTGGAATCGCTCTTTTGATAAACTGTACAACCTATCACTTCTATTTGAAGCCTCTAAGTATCCTGTATATTTAGATAAACCCATGAAATTCCAAAGTAGGTTATCATGACCTACATTTTAGATGAAACACTCTGAGAACCCAAGATGATTCTAAGCCAATTAGTACCTGAGAGTTGGTCATGGTGACCTACTTATCACTTGTCATTCTCTGAGGATCCAAGATGCATCAACTAAGTTTGATGATTCTAAGCCAATTAATACCTAAAATATTTTTAAAATTATAACCATAAAATTTCAAAAGTAGGTCACAGTGACCTACTTTTCAGATGACATACTTTGAGGACCCAAGATACATCAACTGACAAAGTTTGATGATTCTAAGCCAATAAGTACCTGATATATTTAAATAAAGCCATAAAATTTCAAAAATAGGTCACACAGTGACCTCCTTTTCAGTCGACTAACTCTGCGGACCCAAGATGCATCAACTGACAAAGTTTGATGATTCTAAGCCAATTAGTACCCGAAATATTTAATTATAGTCATATAAATTGAAAAGTAGGTCACAGTGACCTTCTTTTCAGTCGACCCACTGCGAGGATCCAAGATATATCAACTGACAAATTTTGATGATTCTAAGCCAAATAGTACCGAAAAATTTTTAATTAAAGCCATAAATTTTTAAAAGTAGGTCATGGTGACCTCTTTTTCAGTCGACTTACTCTGAAGACCCAAAATGCATCAACTGACAAAGTTTGATGATTCTAAGCCAATTAGTATGTGAAATATTTAATAAAAGCCATAAATTTTCAAAAGTAGGTCATGGTGACCTATTTTTCAGTTGTTGTACTCTGAGGACCCAAGATGCATCAACTGACAAAGTTTGATGATTCTAAGCCCATTAGTACCCGAAATATTTAATTAGAGCCATAAATTTTCAAAAGTAGGTCTACTTTTCAGTAGACCTACTCCGAAGCCCCAAGATGCATCAACTGACAAAGTTTGATGATTCCAAGCCAATTATTACCTGAAATATTTAATTATAGTCATATAAATTGAAATGTAGGTCACAGTGACCTACTTTTCAGTTGATGTTTTTTGAGGATCCAAGATGCATCAACTTACAAAGTTTTTTGATCATAGGCCTTAAAATGTCCAAATTATGCCTCTAAAACGCTTTGAAATTGAATGTCTGTAAAGTTCAAAAAGTAGGTCACTGAGACCTACTTTTTAATAAATATATTTTATGGCCCCAAGATGCATCATCTTACAAGATTTAATGATTCTAAACCTCTCAGTATTTGAATTAATGACCTTAATTGTTTTGAAAATGATTAGCCATAAAATTCAGAAAGTAGGTCAAGGTGACCTACTTTTTAGTCAACATACTCCGAGAACCCAAGATACATCAACTGACAAAGTTTGATGATCATAGGCCTTAAATTGTTCAAAATATGCCTCTAAATCATTTTAAAAAAGAATGGCCGCAAAATTTAATAAGTATGTCACTGTGACCTACTTTTGAGTCAACATGATATGAGGTCCTTAGATCATCAACTGACAAGATTTGATGATCCTAGTCCTTATAGTAAGCAAAATATCAACATTTTAATAAAATGTAATTTTTGGTCAACTTTGTAGTGACCTTGAGACCATGCCCTTTGCCCCAGGGTAAATCCCATGCAAATTTTAATCTACAACAAATCCTAATCCTTTTGTGTAAGTTTGGTGATAATCTGCCCAGTGGTTCTTGAGAAGAAGATTTTTTAGCAACCAGTACTTTTGTTTCTATTTTCCTTAATTATCTCCCCTTGTTTATGGGTCACAACCCTAGTTTTACATGTAGTATAAACGGGAGCCCTTGGGCCAAGGATACCCTGTGACAAATTTGACAATTATTGGCCGAGGGGTTCTTGAGTTGTGGCCCATATTCTAAAAAGTTTATGTACACCGCACAAATGGCCATAGCATTAGCTCTTTGAGCCTTTGGCTCAGAAGAGCTAAAAATGGGGGGAAAACACTGTCATGTTTTTCAATTGCAGAAATATGCATCAAGTCAATTTCTGACACAGATTTCATTTGCAAGACCATTTTACCATGTTTAGAGTTTACCAACACTCACAATCACTTTATTAACAAGGTATTGCACAGTTCCATTTGTTCACCAATAGACAATACTTATCTCACTAAGCACAACTTTCATTTTTGCCCGTTTTCTCTCTTTCTTGAAAAACATCTCACATTTTTGACAATACATTTGAGAATGTGGGCAGACCTATAAAAAATGCACCAATCAGATTCTTTGTTGGATTTTGCAATTGTATATCAGTCAGATTCAATTTTATATCAGTCAGATTCATCAGCATCATCGTCACTCAACGGATCACTATTTTGGTCATAGTGTAAACTTTCAAGCAAGATTGTGATAACTTTCAGAGAGAGATATCACATAATTTTCTATACTTACATGACATTTTATGCTAAGGTCTAATTTTTGACCCATTCTTACAGTATTAGCTCCACCTCTCATGCATATTTATCAAACTTATCTTTAATCAATGGTAGCTAAATGTAAATTCTTGAACTTTGCAAAGCAGTAAGGGCAAAAAATACTTAAAATACTTATTGTATCACAGTCTAAAATCGTAAAATTAGATAAGATATGAAAGTAACAGAAACTATGCAAAAAGAAAACGAAACCCAGTGTTAAGGCAGTCATCCTTTAATTCAGCATTAAAGTTACTTAGAGAGACAGAAAAAAAATTCACAAACATTTAAAAGTTACATAAAGGTAGTTAAACTTAAGTTTGGATGTAAGTTACCTGTATGCTGCTTCTTAAAGGTAGCTTAAAGAAACTTATAGAAATTTAATTCTTAAGCTACTTTGTCACCTTAAAGACAGTTTGAGTGCTCCCGTGCATCTACTGGTTAAAATTTGTTTTCTGTCAACTCACCTGTACCTCTGATATGATACATATTCTGAGACTCCATCGTTTTATCTGAAATATATCAGAAAACAGTTTTAACATACAGGAACTATACAAACTTTTCTGTTCAAATGTTTATTTTGTAGAATCTGTTTGACATAAATTATAAAAGACATAAACACTGAAACTGAACTTTATTAAAATTTAAAAGTAATGCTTGTACAGTAAAATTCAGTTTTAAGGAAGTCCCTGGGACCTCAAATTTTGCTTCTTCACGAGGCCCAATATACTTGGTTTGCGCATACATTTTCACATATAGTTGTTTCAGACACGTCACAGTACCCTTGATTGCTGTCACAATTGATTACAATAACGTCACAGTTAAAATGACGTCAAATTGCGCTAAAATATTTCGCTAATTCTTGCATTCCTGGTAAGTCCCATGCATGTTGAAAGCTCACTCACTCTGGCATTTCTATCAATTCTTGTGTTTTAATAAATAAATGTTTTAATTCATTAAAAAGCAACTTTGTAACATAATTTATTTTGAGATATTGTGAATTTCTAAGTAGATATTTATAAGTTTTTTCTTATTTTATTTTAATTTTTGAGCTGAAAAAAATGCAACCTTAAGTAAACAATGTAGTCTTCCTTGATGAAAATGTGTATTTACCAATTTTGTTGATAATTAACTATGTGTGCAGAAGATTGACTCTTACAAAAAATCTACGAGTCATTTAAATGCAACCAAGAAGAAATACTTAAGCTTCCTACAGTACATATTAATAAACTTTGTATTTTTATTGCCTTTTAACCCCCCCCCCCCCTTCTTCTTTTTCCAAGTAAAACAACATTTTGTGTTAGACAAAATAACAATTGGAGAGAAAATTCTTTCATAATGTAATTATAAGGAGCATTAATTTTGAGAAACATATACAATACAACAATCATTTCTTGATATTATGTAAACCTACTGCAAATTATAAAGTATCTTAGATATAATTTAAAGTCCTATTTTTGTGTTTTGATATGCCCTCTTTTCACTAAAATAAAGGCTACCCCCACTTTTCTTTTCATTTTTTAAATGAGGAATTGATATTGCATAATATATGTGAAAAGCAAAACATTTCAACATTTAGTTTTTTTAAATGTATCAATTCCATTGTTTTTTTATGTGTAGTTTAAGCATATACTTGTGTGTAAAACCACGAACAATTGTCCATATTTTGAAATTGCACCCATTCAACTACAATCAAGGCAAGGTAACAAAATTTCAACCTAATTTTTCTTAGCATGGTACATACATATATAAAAATTCAAAGATATTTGCTGGTCCGTTTTCGTAATTTCCAACTAGATTGGGCCTTGTTAATAGACAAGATACCTTATATCTGTATAAGGGGATGACCATTTGATTCTGAAAAGGGGGGGGGAGCAAAATTTTTCAAGCCTGATTATTTATTTTCATGCCAGTCAAGGAGAGATTATTTATTTTCTTGATGATCAGGGACAGATTATTTATTTTCAAGATGATCAGGGAAAGATTATTTATTTTCTTCACTGAAAAAACAAGAGGCCCATGGGTCACAATGCTCACCTGAGTAACTTTGGACATGCTGTTCTTCACCAGATTATCCATCTTGTATTACTTATTGTGGCCCCACCCTACCACCTGGGGTCATAATTTGAACAATTAGAATACACTACCTCAGGAAGCTTCTATATAAGTTTCACCTTTTCTGGCCCAGTGGTTCTTGGGAGGAAGATTTTTAAAGATTTTTTCCTATACATTTCAATGTAAAACTTTGATTCCCTATTGTGGCCCGCCCCACCCTACCCCCAGGGGTCCTGATTTGAACAATTAAGAATCTATATAACCTAAGGAACCTTCCAAATAAGTTTCAGATTTTCTGCCCCAGTGGTTTTTGAGAAGATTTTTAAAGATTTTTCCTATAAATTTCAATGTAAAACTTTGATTCCCTAATGTGGCCCCACCCTACCCCAGGGGTCATGATTAGAACAATTCAGAATCAACACTCTCTCAGGAAGCATCTATATATATAAGTTTCACCTTCTCTGGTCTAATGGTTTTTGAGAAGAAGATTTTTAAAGAAGTTTCCTATATATTTCAATGTAAAACTTTGATTCTCTATCATGGGCCCACCCTACCCACAGGGACCATGATTTAAACAATTAAGGTATTAGATGTGTAATAGGCCACTTCTGGTTAAAATGCCGAGGTGTTTGACATCGGCAGTTTTCGGAACATTCACCTTCGTAAACAAAAATGGCGCATTGTCAAGACGGCCTAGGACGCTATCATAAAACATACACCAGAGGAAAGGAATATAACTAATCAGAGGAAAGAATTGATATGATATTAAATCGAAAACACGTTACTTTATTTTGGTTAGACAAAATATGCAGTCAAAACGATGTTATCTTCATATACACTCTACATGGGTTTTTCCAACTTCTAAAAATAGCCCCGATTTCGAAAAACGAAGTATATATACATGTATACCTTTCTTAAAAACTTCACATTCGCATTGCGATTTTGTGATCTCTTAATATCAGCTAACAGATTGAGTAGAATAATGTATGTAATAATATAAATAGCATGGCGTGTATTGTAGAATCTGCAATTTACGATATTGGACTGATATTACATATAATGCATGCTATACAGTGCAGGAAACTAATTTTGTTACAGCATCAATGCTGATTTGAATGCTTCCTTTACTTGCTGATTTGAATGCTTCCTTTGCTTGCTGATTTAATGCTAGTAATCCTTATCCTGATGCTGTTTTATAATTAGGTCAATGCTACAGGAAGTAGCATCATGCTACCGGAAGTAGATAATGAATTTCAGCATTGCCGTTTAAAGCAATAAAAGTGCCTTTTACAATTATTTGATCATAATATTTCACTATGTATCAATAATGTGAATACTTTAACCAATATTCTTTCTTTCTTTTTTTAATTTTTTACTGAATTAAAACTCATTGATTTTCTGATGCTAGTAGGATAATGCTGATTTTATGTAGGTCAGTGCTGGTTTTATCCTTTGCTTGCTGATGCTGATCCTGGTAATGCTGTTTTTTAAATGCTGATCCTGATGCTAGCTCGATCCTGATGCTACTAATGCTTATGCTGATGCTGGTTTATGTAACAAAATTAGTTCCCTGCACTGTAGATATATTTACTTTGACATGCAAACCTGTGGCCGTGCAAATTGAAATGATTCTCAGGTTTTGTGTAATATCAATGATTTTCTAGCAAAATAATTTACAAAACAGACTGAAAATATCTAAATACTAATGCAACATACATTAAAGTGACGTTCAGTGATCATACGTAAAATATCTGAGATGATTAAAATATACATGATATATCAGTGAAAAAAAAATGTAATTATATGTTTACAACTTTAAAGAAAAAAAATATCAGTTATGGGAACAAATAATTTATTCTGGGTAAGGTCAGGCTGAATTTTATGTGTGCGTGTGTTTTTTTAAAAATTTATTTACTTTCTGCATATTAAGTTTAGAAAAGGGGGGGGGGTATTTAAAATATTTATTTACATATATTTTGTTTTATACATGTGAGGAACAATATAGTTTTTTTAAACCTTTTCATAAGTGTTTCTGTCAGTGTATATTTTAGCCTTCATTGTAAAGTAACTCTGAACTATGAAGACATACACACGGGAACTGCAAAAATGTAGGTCATTTTGCAAACCCTAGTCTAGGTCAAGGTCACTGTGAGAAGAGGTCAGTTTTATGGACAACTGAATTTAATGTGAAGTGAATTGAGTATGACAATTATCTCTCATTTATATCTGCTGGAGCTCATTATTTCATTCATTATAATCTACCCTATACCACTAACAAAAAAATAATGGCTTACATTTTTAGGGGTATATCGCTATGATGTAGAATATAGATAAATATTGTGGATGGAATAATTTTTTGTTGTTGTTATATTATCACAAATACATGTCACACAAAATTTATAATGTTCTTTTATTGATCTTTCCTACCATATTTTTCTTTGGCAGAATATTGTTAAAAGTTTTATAACAAGAAATGCTAAAATTGTCACTAAATGTAGACAAGTTCTCTCAATTACAAGTATTCTTATATCATACCTGATGAATTTGAATTAAAAAGAATGCATGTATACCATCTATAGTGCTTAGTGTTACAGTTGAATACATGAAACATTAAACTGTTCTTTGACTAACTAGAGCAGAGGTAAAATTTATATCTGTACCCTTTGTCCATTAAGGGTGCACCTGTGGCGAGAGGGTACAGTTATATTAATAAGGAAAGAAGAAATATGTATGGACAGAATTGCCTAAAACTAAGGGAAATATTGCTGAAAGTGTTCATTATAACTTTGCTTAATTTAGTCATATTCAAGGTCATGGCTATTACACCCCTAATACCTTAAGAATCTACACTACCTCAGGATGCTTCTGCATAAGTTTAAGCTTTCCTAGCCCAGTCGTTTTTGAGAAGGAGATTTTTAAAGATTTTTCCTATATATTTCAATGTAAAACTTTGATTCCCTATTGTGGCCCCACCCTATCTTTGGGGGTCATGATTTGAACAATTTAGAATCTACACTACCTCCAAGATGCTTCTGCATTAGTTTCAGCTTTTATGGTCCACTGGTTCTTAAGAAGATTTTTAATTCCCCACCCTATTTTTGCCTTTTCTTCATTATCTCCCCTTGGAAGGGGGCTTGGCCCATAATTATTAAAATTTAAAATCCCCTTTATACGGGGATGCTTTGTACCAACTTTGGTTAAAATTGGCCCTGTGATTCTTGAGAAGAAGCTGAAAATGTGAAAAGTTTACAGATGGATGGACAGACAGATAGACAGATGGATGGATGCAGGACACCAAGTGATCAGAAAAGCTCTCTTGAGCTTTCAGCTCAGGTGAACTAATATGGGGAGAATTTTTTGTCAGCAAGGTAAATGTACAGCCTTCAGTGTTTTGCTTCACATTTCACATCATTTAAACACACTGCACAGAAATATAATATCAGTTTCTTGAATATAGAGAATGATACATCTCCTTTTCCTATTCACACCCTGTCTCAGCCCACGAAACCAATATCAGCCAGAGGGCCATAGACCTGAGGGCTGATATTGGTCAAGACCTAATACAGGATGTGAAATGGCTATTACATTTATCACCTACAATTAAATAATAACCAATTAGTTATCATCTTAAATACCATATACATTTTTATATAGAAAATTAATATAACGAAAAAATGTATTAACACATTAAAGATTCTTCAAGGTTTCATCTGCACAAAGTGTGATAAATATTGATCCATATCAGTCCTGAAGATTCATTTAAGCAGGATCTGCAGTATTAGCCCACGAAGCTGATATGGCTATTGCAAAGTAAGCTGTATAGCACATGCAAACACCCTGTATTTATTACTTAGTATATATGTAATAATCAAATGAAAATAATGATAAACAGCATCATTTGCTATATTTAGGATTGTGCATATAAACTTTGTAACAGTCATTTAAAATGTAAATATAACTACAGTCACTGTGACAAATACTGACCTATTTTCACAATATCTTTTATAAAATGAAAAGACACATTGAAGCCTCTTCTACTGAATTTATAATCTACGTTGGTATGGTATGGATCAGCCATGGCCCCCATCCGCCCCGCTCTGGTAATAAACTCCATAAACAGGTGCTCTCCTGAGGAGTAAAAAGTCACAGTACTGTGTTCACCACAGAACTTGTATAGGACAGGGGCCTGTCTGTTGGGTCCATCATAAACAGTGAGGGAATCATATGGACAACTGTAAAAAAAATATGATCATGCTTTAATCCTAATTGTATATTGTGTTACTAATGCAAGAACATGTCCTGTTCATAATATATAAAACTGGTCATTGATCAAGAATATTCAATCTAATTTGGATTTGACCTTGGAAGATATTTTTTTTTTTCTTTTCAAGTTTTGTTGCTCACTCATTGCATTTTGGGAAGAAATTTGAGTAAAATGGGATACAAGAAGAAGACTTTAAACTAAAGACGAAGGCATCTAAAGATCTACATACTACACTTTGAACCATTTAAGTTATAATCATTGCAGGCCCTATCCATACAGACACTCAAATTAGTAAAGTACCACTGAAACTGAGGTAATAAAATATATTACAGATATACAAAATACTAATAAATTTTGAAATCTGTACCCTTTCGCTTGATCAGAATTTAATACCTTGTTTAGGTGTACTGTACCTCTTTTAGTTCCCAAGGACATTCTAGGGACAAACGCCTGTCAACTATGTGTATAATATCTTTTGACAGATCTGAACTGTCTTTGCCTCTCTGGCATTTAATAGAATGCTTATGATCAGCAAAATTTGGAAATTTATGATAAATCTTTCAATTTACAGAACCACTTTCCTTATATCTATACATAAAGACAAAATCACATTCAGAAGTCTCCCTTCTCTGACAGGTAACAATACCTTTGTAATCATTCTATCATATTAAGAAGTGGTGGAAATTAAATGTGAATTATGGCTGATAGTGATGTAATGGAGTGCAATGAATTTGGGCTATACAGTTGTAAATATATGAATGGTTATGTGTATGTAATTGAATAAAAGCATTAGCAAGCAGTGTTCCTATATAATATGTGTTGTAATTTATTCATTTAGCACTTTATTGATTTATATTCAGATAAACGAATTGAGGGAGAAATAAGTTAATTTAAATGTATCTCTTTGAAAACCACAAACTCATGTTACGTACAGCAATAAAATGTACGTCCACACCATACGAAAAAGAACACAAGTCAAAAGTAGCAACTTCAGGTGGCAAAAGTCACATATACAGCAACCATCCTCGACACTGTTATCAGACAACTATATATTGTATCAAAATTTGAATTCTGTGAAACATTACAGAAACAGGAAATTATTAACGATTAAAATATTATATACACATATCAGTTTGAACACAAATTTGTAACGTAATTTGTGTATAACATGTAAACTGCAAATATGAATAGCTAGGTCCAATAATACACATTAAACAGTGTAATTAAAGCAGTTACTGGATTGCTCCTTATACATTGTGTTCAATTAATAAGCAACTCTACTGTATAAAAACATACTGAACATTTATAACTACATCTTAATCAAATATATACTACCATGCCTGAACATTTAATTGATCTATGCTGCCTCATTGATACAAACCAATAGTAGTGTCCATTTACTCACACTTTACCAGCAGTGAATCTCCCTTTTTGACAGATCACACTTGTTTCCTATTATGTTTGATATTTACAAGCTAGGATAAAAGCTTGATCCACAACTCCACTATAAACTACATGTCAAACTAGTCAGTGACGTCATCTCAATCAGTACAGTAAGATCAAATTAGCTTTCACTTTATATCCCATTGATTATTGTGGCACAATAAGGCCAGGGTAAAATTAATCTTTAGATTCTCATCCCTGCCCGCCCCTTTCAAAGTGCCCCGCACCGTTGTTTTTTATTTTGCTTTTTGGCTGTCAAACGTATTATTTTCATGTATTTTTTAATCAGCAAGAATCTGGGTCAAAATTTAAGAGTTATCTCCCGTCTGTATTAAAAGTTGCGTGGTGCTATTTATACCAAAAAAACTATGTGAAGAATGGAGAAAAATTGGCAATAAAAGCAGTTTAAATATGTAAGGAAAAGATAATTTGTCAGTATAGAGAAGGCAGAAAAGCAAAAATAACATAAACACATCTAGATACCATCACTGGCATGAGCAAGTTTAAGAGATTTTAACCAAGTAAAAACAGATGAAGAAAATACACATGGTCAAGTTTTAAATAACGATCTCCAGTTGTATGTGATTTTGCATTAAAAAAAAATAAAACATCGTTCAAAGACTTTAGAGAATAAAAATGCTAAGAAAATGTTAAATCTTAAAACTGTTCAGGCCTAGGCTTTTCAGTAGAATATTTTACAGATTTATACAATCCTGTTTTACAAATATGATATACATGTATTTTAATGTTGAACATGTAAAGTCTCAAGAACGATTGAGTGTATGAGGACAGTGGAAATCTGTGATATATCACACAGAACAGAAGGAGTTGTTGGTAAAACTATATAAGGTACTTGGGGAAAGGCCGATGAGAAAACATGCATGCATATGCAATTTTTTAGGATCAGCACCTCATTTTGTTTGGTGTGTGCCGTATCTGTGTACTTGATAATTTGTTAATAAAATATTTTAATTTTCTATAACAAGAATCTTCTGTAGATATTTAAAAGAATATGAAATCAATAAAATCTATTCATATTAGCATTAACATAATATAAAAATTATGTGTACGAATGCTTTGTTGACACTTTCAATTATAAAAAATAAAAAATAAAATCCGCCCAACCACCCCAATTTTTTTTAGCAAATTAGGATGAGAATCTAAATTTTAAATTTATGTGGCCTAAGTTGCACTTTTTAAAATTCATATGCACATTATTTATGGAAAACAAAAGTATTTGAATGTTAAAAAAAAGAACATTTATATTTATTCATCCAAATTCATTTGTATTGTTTTAATGTGATGTCATAATTGTTTTCCTGAACCTGATGATCTGCATAGCTATATAGATTGATATAAATATGGGAATCATTAGCCTAGCTGCACAAGTATGTTCTTCACTCTTTGGCACAAATGCATAGAATGGATATGAAAGTTTTTATCCTGGTAAACATTTTGAGTAGTATTTGAAAATCTTAATTTTAGGAAATTAATAATCAGATTTTAGGAAAATTTTTTGCATTTCCTGAGGGAACTCAGGGCAAATCTTGAACCCAATGAAACTATGGCAATGTCATTCCAAAATCCACAAATATCTTTCTCATCTCATACTTGTATAGTAAAAATAAATCTGTATATGGAAAAATATATATCCTAGTTATTGCCACACAATTGTTAATATCTACTTTAATTTGAACTAATGTTCCATGACAAAGTGATCTCAAAATCTTTTGGTGCCTTTTTAACAATTTCTCCACCAACTTGCGTATGATATGAAGGGTTTATGTTAAGATATGACTGAGAAATTTTAATATTATTATATCTTATTAATCAATGTAGAATGGTCATGCTGTAATACTTCTTGACAATCTCTGTTTGACCTTGATATGTTAAGAAAACAGTGAACACAATGTCAAGTTATCACATCCCAGTGTTGATGTATACACAAAGGTCTGTATGAATTGCATTTGATCAGGAGAGCTATAAGAATGCTAATTGTCATATTTTCTTTCCATATACCAATCACTGTATGAAGTACATTTATGAGCTCAATAAGTTGTCTTTCCTTGTAATTTATTTCTGAATTCATATAAAGAGATGCAGGAACATTCACAAATTTATATAAAATTACTCCCTTATTGCCAAGCTTCAGAAAAACGCTGAAGATTTAGTATCTGTGACTTCAATAAAAACTGCTGCAGAATTAGTGCAATGCTCCAAATGAGATATTGTAAATTCAATTAACACCGAGGAAGATGTTTTCTACAATTGATTTTTCCCCTCAGAACAAACTACCTTCTATCATTTTACATGTTTTATAACAGTGAATAATATATTTATATCTGACATCCTTGACTAATATAAATTAATCTGCATAATTGACATAGGTATTACAAATATTACAAAATGCATGGACCAAAAAAAAAAACCAAACTATTATTTTAAATATACCAGGTATTAAGTGCCAATGAAGTGAACCTAAAACTTTCCTGCATTGTTACCATCTTCCTTGAAAGATGGCAAAGAAAGATGATTACAGAAGTATTACTGGAGGTATACAGTCTTTGGACTAGGTCTCTTTTGTGATGGATTTAAAAAAAACAAGATGTGTTTGTAAAACACTGATGCCCCCATATGGCAACTTACAGCAAAGGTTAAACTTTCTCAAATGTAAATCAAATATGTTGGTACCCCAAGTAAGGTCTTGTCTCGAAGAATATACCTGTGAAATATGAAAGCCCTATAGCTAGCAGCAACCATTGAAAAGATATGGAAGAGGTTAAAGTTTTTCAAAAGTGAGTCAAACATAAGGTCATGCTCAAATGGTCGAAATTAATGGTGCCCAAGGAAAGGCCTCCTCACAAGAAATACACATATGAAGTATGAAAGCCCTAGAGCCAACTGTTCAAAAGTTATGGACAAGGCTAAAGTTTTCCAAAAGAACATCAAACTCCAAGGTTGAAGTCAAAAGGTCAAAGTTGTTGGTATTCAAAGGAAGGTTTTGTCACAAGGATTACATATGTGAAGTATGACAGCCCTAGCACCAACTGTTCAAAAGTTAAGGTCAAAGTTGTTGGTATTCAAAGGAAGGTTTTGTCACAAGGATTACATATGTGAAGTATGACAGCCCTAGCACCAACTGTTCAAAAGTTATGGCCAAGGTTCAAGTTTTCCAAAAGAGGGTCAAACTCCAAGGTCAAAGTTGTTGGTATACAAAGGAAGGTCTTGTCACAAGGATTACATATGTGAAGTATGAAAGCCCTAGCACCATCTGTTCAAAAGTTATGGCCAAGGTTAATGTTGGGTAAAATTTTGCTCCAAGGTCAAAAGGTCAAACATGATGGTACCCAAAGAAAGGTCCTGTCACAAGGAATACACTTGTGAAATATGAAAGCCATAGCTCCAACCAATCAAATGTTATGGGCAAGGTTAAAGTTTTTGCGGACAAACAGACAGATAGACAGACAGATGGATGGACAGGGCAAAAACTATATGCCCCCGAATCTTTGATTACGGGGGCATAAAAAATTCATAGGATGAAATCCTGTTCAATGCAAGGTAGATAATATTGGTGACTTGATTTATTTACAACTTAATAATTTTCAAGTCTTAGAACAAGAGACTCATGGGCTTACCTGAATGTAATACGTCAACCCTGTTTATAAGAATGCATGGAAAGGTAATTTAATAAGTATATAATAAAACAGTATAAACTGATAGATGAGGATATGTCCTGTCCTAACACTATAATCCCTGACCATGGGGCCATGAATTTCACAATTTTGGAAGAGAAAATCTTGATCATCATAACCATGCACATAGTTTGTCTGCTAAATACCCAGGAGCAGAGGATAAGAATAAGTATTAATTAGTAAGAATTAATGCATTTTCAAAATGTGATCAATAGAATCCCTGCCTCAACACTTAAGCCCCTAACCCAGGGACCATGTTCGAATTTCAGAATTTGGAAGAGGCACCCTTGATCATCATAACTATGCACTTGTTTTGTCTGCTTTATATACAGGGAGAGAGAAATACAGTACTCCGAATGGACAAGTGACCAAGACATTTATTTGTCAGAACTTCAACTTCACTTGTCCAAACAATTTTTAATAAAGATCTAATACTGTCAACTAGAGAACTATTAATTGAAATAAAGTCCATTATATGACTATAAGTGCTTGATTGATTTGTGATGCTATCAATAAAAACAACAAGCACATAAAACAAAATTTTATCTAGATTTCCTGTCCTGACAACATTAATTTTAGCAAGTGAAACTGTCAACATCAAGCAGAATCCAAACTTCCTAAGATCCATGCCTCTGCAGTAGTATGTACTAAACTACTGATAGACTTTTAACCAGTCATTCTTTTTATGAATTGGAGACTTCATTACATAAAAAGCACTTGTCCAATTGGACAAGTGCCAAGCAATATTCACTTGTCTGTAATATTTTTTTCACTGGTACCGGACAAGCGTTAATGTTGAGACCTGATGATGGACAAAAACAGATAGCAAACGGTCACCTGAGTAATGAGAAAAACAAATAAAAATGGCAAGAAATGAAATCAACACTTAATTTATTTATTTAAAGCGACTATTAAAAAAATTTTGTATCTTTTTATCATCAATGGTCAAAATTTGTTTTAATTTGTTTAAATTTGTTTCTTTCTTTTTAATTGTCATTTACAATTATATAGGCTGGATTCTGTCTAGCAATAATTTTGTAACAGGAGTATAATTATTACTGACATACAGAAATTTGTGAAAACTTATACTTACTAATCACCACCATGAAAAAGAGAAAAGTCATTAAATTTGATCTGGATTCTCTCCCCTGCAGCTCCATGTAAGCTGTATGAGCAATTTAGATTGTCTGGATATACTCCAGGGTATGTAGGAGAGATGATATTTCCAGTCTTTTCGTACACACTTTTGATAGTGTAGCTACAGTAATGGCTAGGTGATTTGGTTCCTACTTCATAGATTGCTGAAAAAATATAATTATATTCAAGTAGGTTATTATCTGAGAATAAAGTTGATGCATATATTACTCATCAACACTTGTGAATTATACAGTCCCTTAAATGTTATACTTTTCCATTTTTAGCTGGGCTTATTGCTCAAAGAGCAATTGCCGTCTATTAATTGTCAGCCTGTTCAGACGGGAAGTGTCGACCCCACAACCGCCATATTAAAGTTACATGTAAAAATATAGACTAGTACCCAAGGCCTTCTGAGTGCAAGCACGAAGCACTCGGGTACTAGGCTATGTTTTCATAGCCTAGTTCTCTACAAAGACAAAGAAAGACAGGAGAGGGAACCAGTTTTTGTTTTTGTTTACATTTGGCAGTGCCAGGTTAACACTAACCCTGATAAATTTGGACCGTGGTATAAGGTCCCAAAAACTAATTGGTTTATCATTTATTTTGATATTTTAAGATTTTTTAAACTTATTTTCATATAAGATGTCATTCAAGCCCTTATTTTTCTTAATATTATTATTACTTTTTTTTTTGTTTGTCAGTGTTCCAGCTAGGATTTGAAAATGGAGGGGTGCATGAGAAGGGCACTTTTTCGTGATTTACCATTTCGCTATGATCATTTTATATATACATATTATGTGTTATAGCCTGTCTGATGTCATTATTTATTCATAATAATAATAATGCACTCCTTCAAACTTTATTAATACTCATTTATTTTAATTAAATTTAAAGATATAAACAAGCACTAGTGTATTATATAAACACTCAAGCATAAGTACAGTGTGTGCATATAAAAATACATTAAAAACCATATTTTATGAGCACTAGAAGTTCACTTTAGCACAATGTTCAAAACATGATTCAATGTTGCATATTTGATTTTCATTTCAGGTGATTAGCTAATGTTCACAAGTCTTCTTTCTTTCTTGTTGAAGAATGTTGATAAACTCTCATCAAGTATGGAGTTGAACAGTTCTTTGTTGCAGTTGTATTTGAAGGAGAGAATTTTTGAAATTGTCTGGGTCTTTAGGTTGAATCTATGACTGGTCTTTAATAATTTGAGTTGGCTGAAGACTCTTTCTACCTCTGCTGTACTTAGTGGTTGGACTACTGCAATGCTGTAGAGAGTATAGACACCAATGGGTATACATCTGTTTCAAGTTGAGATCTTGGTATTGTGCTGAAATGAATAATCTATGAAGATCAAGTAGTGAACGTTGACTTGGTGCTGTGGAATTGATGAATTCAAGAAAGTCTTGCCATTGAAGTTGCAGAGTTTCTGTTTCCATGTCGAATTTCTGTGAGAGCAACTCCATTTCTGTACAACCATACATAGTCTCTACTGTATCTGTGCCTGAGAGGTCTAGAATGGCTAGCTGGTCAAGTGTATCTGTATCTGTGAATCTGTGTCTGATGTTCTTGATAAGTTACTCCAGGAAAGGCTCTCGAACAGCTGAGTAAAAATCAGTAGGTGGTGGAACTGTGATGTTGGCATCTGTCCGGAGTTTTTCTTCTTTGAGTAGCCAGGGTCCAGGTTGGGTTTTTCTCTTCTCTAGGATTGTGATGGTTTTTTCTACACATTGTGTTACATATTTTTCCAGTGTCTGAAATTCTTATTATTTATCTGTTCATACAATGTACATGTATGATTCATGTAAAAAAAATTCTACTCTGTAAATGAGCCCAGCTCTCTGTACTCCTGAGTTTGCTAACCATTCCTTCACTATGTGCTCATCATTCAGTTTTGCATTCATCTTTCTCCAACCACTTGCAGTCATCATTCAAAACGCATTCAGTGTTCACTGACTATTCATGTATAAAATATAAAGTTGAGACTTATTATTTCCAGAATTTGTAACCATCAATGATTAAACCTGCAAATTGGTGCAATACGAATTCCATTGAAAAGTTTCTTATACAGCCTACTCCGGATATATTGAAATTCAGGGGAGTATGCAAATTATTTCAATATATCCGTAATTCAATATAAGCGAAATCGACTGACATGAAGCCGCCATATTTAAAAGTTCAATCTCGATCTAAAATAAAGAAGAACAAACCCGAACAAATTAATTTGGTCATTGTTTATCTATTACAGTGAATAAATTACATGGAATACTGTGTTCGATGGCTATGTTAAAGGACCTTAAGTTTGTGATCCATTTGAAAAGACAATCTTCAACCTCATTATAATTTCTTGATCGCATTCTTTTACGTTTTGGAGAAAAATCACCAGACTCAAACGCTTCAATTACTGCTGAACGCTGCTTGTATATCATCGTAAGTGTACTCGGGTTAATCCCAAAATCCTAACTATTTCGGATTTAGGCTTTGTCTTCTTATCAATAGCCATAACTAGTTCGTATTTAGTAACTATCCAAAGACAGTTTTTCTTTTCTGTGGAGTTCCCTTATTACGTCTAGCCTCAATACGTCTGTATACGTGGAAACAAAGAATTCAACAGTGAATAAATTTTATTTTGTAAAAGCAGTATAAAAAACATAAAGTGAGGCATAATTACTATCACCAAACATAGCGACAGTAGCCAGGGAGTACTTCATTATAACTGTTATGAAAACAACTCATTATCACCTCTGGGACTGATAGGTTACTTCAATATAAGTGATATTTCAAAATAGCCGATTTCATTATAACTGTTATTTTAATGCAAAGAAAATGAGAGGCTAAAACTGGGGATTTATTTTTGTTTCAAAATAAGCAGAATTTCAAAATAAGCAATTTCAATATAAGTGGAGTAAGCTGTACTTTTCAATGGAAAATATTTTATGTTGTACAACTGACTTTATAAAATCATACTTCAACTACAGGCCAAATGACATGAATCATACTGAATAGAACTCATACTTAGTAGGCAGAATTCAGAACTCAGGCACATATGGATTTTGATTATTTTTTGCACATATACTACAAGTGTTTCCACATGACAATATCGAAAAAAAAAAATTATTCTCATAAAGTCAAGATTATTTTTGTTAATTTTTGAAATTTAAGTGCAAAAACATCAAAATGCAGTAAAAATTTTATCAAAAATTTATTTTGCTTTTTATGATATGATAATAAAAATCTGGACATGGCAATTAACATTTTTATGAATAACTGAAACCTTTTCCATTCAATATATCAATGATTATAAGACAATTTTTAGTTGTTTTTTTTTTTTTTGGGGGGGGGGGGGTTACTGTGGTATAAAATTGGGCTTAACAAGTAACTCAGTGAATTCATTATCCAATATCAAATGTCTTTTAAAATCCAATACTTTTCAATTTCAATATTTTATCTTGTGAAACAAAAATTTAAACAAAGTCTAAATTGTTGAATCAATAAATTTGGTAGGTATAAGGTATAATGGGAAAAATATGGTTGTCAAATTGGTCTTACTTTAAACAATTTATCCAAATTAAACTGAACCAGATTAATATTATATAATAGGCATGGAAATATATAACAATTTCATCCCAAAACTAGACTTTTTGTAGTAATATGGTTTAAATTATTATTTGAATTTATAAAGTAAATTTATCCCTTACAGAAAAAATGTTAGAAACTTATAAGTGTTTTATAATCCACTTATAAGCCATTTATAAGTCATCTATAAGTTTTGAAATTTATTTATAAGTGTACTATAAGTCAAAGTAAGTATAAGTGAGGAACAGATTTTGTTAATACTTCACTTATAAGTGAAGATTAACCACATATCAGTGAATATTTCACTTACACTTCACTTATAAGTGAAGATCAGTATGGTATTAGCCAGAATAAGTGTGGACTTAGAATTTTTACATTATACTAGACTTCTCTTGAGTTGCATTGTGGGTATTCAAGCTAACCAATCAGAAACTTTGTATCTGCAGAGATAAACAACAAGAATTTGAAACTTAGTTAGTCTCTGTGAAAGGATGTTGTTGGAGATTTCAAATTTATTTTGAGTATGCCTTCACATCAGGTTCAACAAGTAGGTTCTATTCACATCATCTTTTTATTTTAACTTCCTTTGCCTGAAATTTTGAATCAATTGACTCAGTTGCTTTCAGATTTCATAAATTTGAAGAAGCTTCAAAGTCATTAAATCTTAATTGATTCTTTTTGTCAAACATTTTTGTTGGTGAATTGAAATAATATATAAAGTTTGCATCATCAAAAAATGTCATATGAGAGGGAATTTTTTTTCTCACAAAATGTTATCTTAATTATTTCATCTTAGGTGCAGATGCATATGTATATGTAAAAAAAAACTTTGAACATCATGCAACCCCTGCATGATTGGAAGTTCTGTTCTAAATTAAGATCTTAAAGGCAGTGCTGTACTTCACTTATAAGTGACTTATAAGTGACTCATACTTGATAAAGTATTAAGGGCTAATACTTGACTTATAAGTCACTTATAAGTGACTATACTTGCATTAAGCAAAAGTGGCTAATACTTGGCTTATAAGTCACTTATAAGTCAAGCACCTCATTTGCATATAAAATCCCAATGAGTCACTAATCAGTCACTAATAAGTTAAATGTATCAGTGAAGTATAAGTCCAGTATAAACAACTTATAAGTAAAAGAATAAAGCACTTGTAAGTCACTAATCAGAAATTTCTGTAAGGGATATTTTCTCCCTGGCAGTAGTGTGATGACTTTTTAAATTCTGTATAATTTGAGTTAAATTGGGATCCATTTTATTTCAATCAAATTTGGTTCAAATTGAAAAATTAGCAATGAACTGTAAAACACACTTTTAACGAAGTGCCAGGGATGGATAATTTTGCTTCATTATAAACATAATTTGTTATATCCATTAAATTCAAAATATATTTTAAAGCCTCAGGGAATGAAATTACTTTGCTGCAAGTGTCAATTCATTATAACTGCAAGTGTCATTTCATTATAAGTGTGTGTTCATGTCAATTTATCATGTGTGTGTTCGTTATAAACATGTTTTTGTCCCCTGCTTTCACTGAAAGTGGGGGATATTAATTTGGGTCTGTCTGTC